CTGAAAAGAGAGTAGAGGTTAGTTGTTAAAGAATGACGTGTTGAAATTCAGGACTTCTGAATTCTGTTCCCAGCTTTGTCACTTATTCTATTTGCCCCAAGACCCTTCCACTTTGTGCACCTCATTTTTCCCCTTTGTAAAATGGGAATAAATGCACTGACCTACCTCCTGAGGGCAGGGGGCATGAGGCTTAATTTATGAAGATGCTCAATGCTGTTTGGTTGGGACTGGCAGAGTGCTCTTGTCCTCTGGCACTGTAGGGAATGGCCTGGCATTCCGTCGCCCTGCGTGCAAACTTTAGGTTGGAACAATAAAGTACTGTGGAGGCCAGGAGCTTCTCCTCATGGCTGTGTCCTGCTGTGGGTCCTTTCTGTAGCGCCGGAGGCAATGGTGGAATGTATCTGTCCCACACAGGGCTTGGCTCACTGTGTGGCACTATGGGTGGGGCTGACTCCTTCATGTGCCAAAGCAGAGGCTCTCCTGCCAATGAATCCATCCTGCTCATAATGAGGAGAAGGGAATTGAGAGCCACACACCCTTGGCTTCTCTCCAGGTACTTGGCTGTTGGGGGCAGTCCCATGACAACACTGTGCTTGTGCACCATGGCAAGGAGGCCAAAGGCATTGTACTGAGGCGGGACGGGGTGCCAAGTGTTATAGCAATTCTGGGACTGGAGCTGTGGCAATGCTTCAGTGACACTGCACCAGGCTGTGATGACTCTGCCCAGGAGCCACTACAACACTGACTGGGTCCTCTGGAGATGTCATGACCAAGCACCATGGCATCAACTCGACTAGGTACCATGGTGATGTGTCACAAGCAGGTGCTGCGGCAACACCAATTCGGGGGGTGCCCGCCCTTTAACCAACTTTGGATGGATGTGGTCATCTCAGGCTAGGCTGTGGGTCTCCTGTTGCCATGGGAACACGTCTCATCCTCCACTATCCCATAAGGCCCGGAGTAGTGGGCAGCTGGGAACCATAGAGTCAACGGCGCGCTGATTAATTGGTGTCCCTGATTGGCTGCAAGAAAATAAGGTGGGGCCAGTAGCTACGGGACTTCCGGGTACGGAGAAGCGAAGCAGCTACGGGAGGGAGGCCGCCGGCCTGGACTCCCGAGGTACGTGGGGCTCAGAGCAGCGGGAGATGGATTCGTCCCAGCTTCCCCCTCATGGGGTGCTGGGTGGTGCGTTCCCCGCTGAGATCAATAGAAGCCAGGATAGAGCTTGCGCAACCCAAGGGAGAAATTCGCTTCCTCCCCTGCTTGTGGAACTTGTTGGTTCCATCCCCGTTGAACTCAAGGGAGGGCAGGCCGGCCCATTACAACCGCAAGGGGGAAACTTACAGCGACGGCCGGCGCAGATTATTGCAACTCAGGGGAAGGTTGCGGCCCCTATGTTGTGGGTATTCAAAGATCCATTCCTCGTGAAACGTACTGGCAGCGCAGACCATTGTAGCTTGGGAAGGGGGTGCACTGTATCCTACTTCACCCCCCTCCCCCATCATGGGGACATGAATGACACCTTCCAAAACAAATTCAATGAAACTGGGAGACGCGAAGAAATCTCGAGGGGAGGGCGAATTGTGGCCTTTTGGTGTGTGTGTATGTGGGCTCAGTGGTATCTTCCCCAACACAGGCATAGACTAGAGCAAACGGTGTCAATTGGAGGGGGCAGTTATAGCATTGGTATGTTCCTCGGAAGTGAGCAGAAAATGGGAAATACCATTCTCATGGAGGGGGGTTCTCCCAGCATTGCGTATGCAGTAGTGAGCCCATTATGGGATATGGGCCAGGCCATGGTTACAGAGCGAGCAGGGGGCTGGGAGCCAGGACTCCTGGGTTCTGTTACTGGCTCTGCCTGTTTTCCCACCCTTAGCCCTAGCTGTCTATGGGGCTTGGGTGCCCCATGGGGTCTTGGGCCTATTGGAAGCCAGGTCCCTGCATTGTTGGCAAGGAGGGAGCAGCTCCCATCCCCAACTTAGGCTCATGGCAGCAGATCTCTGGGGTCCCAGCTCCGATGGGGTCAGCACACATCGCTGCAGAGTCGCATCACATGTCACAATGCCGTAGCAATAGCAGCTGCCAGCACCTGGCTCCCTGACAGCATCTCGGCAGCTTTGCAGGGTTTCCCCTACAAGGTGGCTGCACATGACAGTGCAGTGAGAACAAGGAGGCGCTGTCCCTGTGCCAGCCCCATGGCAGGATGACTGGCTGGCTGGATGTGGGATGGGGAAATAAAACACCTCTGCAAGGTGCTGGCTCTGATCTAGCTCCATGTGAATCAAGTTGTGGGTTTTGGCGTTGCTCCCAATGGAGAAGGTTGCTACTTCCTTGGCCAGTGGGAAGCCTTGGGAGCTCAATGGGCTGTGGAGATTGGGGCCTACTAGCTGAGGTTGCCCTGGGGCAGGGGGATGCAAATTGTCAAGGGTTGCTGTTGGTGTGGTGGAGCTACCCATATTCACAGTCTGGGCACATGGGGTGTCCCATGGTTTTGTGGGTAGCTGTCCCTGGCCAGGTCCCCAACTCTGTGTGTGATGGAGGAGGGTGGGAGATGCAGTGAAACAAGACCCTCCTGGATCACCTGCCATTGATCACCTAGAGTGCCCATGCCGGTGCATCCGGTGCCCAAGGAGGCCGAAGAGATGGAGGGGGATGGGGACTCGGCACCTGAGCTGAATGGTGAAGAGGAGGAGAGCGAGGAGGAACGTAGTGCCAGCCCTTCTGAATCAGAGGAAGAAAGCTCAGGTATTTGAGTATGGAAGGGGATACAGGGAGGGGCTTGGCCTTTTATCACAAAGCGGTTCTGGGATGTGGCTCTGCTTCCAGGGTAAAAGCCATGACCCCAGTGTCCTCTCTCTGGACTCCTAAGTTATGTTCCCAGCTCTGGGAAGAGTGGGGGGTATTGGGGGATGGGGCTGTGAATCAGGACTCCTGGGTCCTATTCTTCTATTTACTCCTAGCTGTGTGTGTGTGACCTGGGTGAGTGTCCTGGCTCTGTATGCCTCTGTTGCCCTGGTCTGTGTGTGGCCTGTAAGATACATGTGCTGTGCCCTGCAGAAATGGATGAGGAGGACTGTGAGCGGCGCCGCAGCGAGTGCCTAGATGAGATGTGTGACCTGGAGAAGCAGTTCTCTGAGCTCAAAGAAAAGTGAGTCCCCTCTTGGATTCCCCATCTTTTAGGTGCCTGTATCTCAGTGCCAGGCAAGAGATCCTGGTATAAACTGTCCCTGCTGCACCCCACCCAAGAAATGGCCGCATCTCAGTGCTAGCTAATGCTGTGGGTTGGCAAGGGCTGAGCAGGCCTATGCTGGGTGTGGTGGGCAGAACTGAACCATGCTGTGTGGTGTGAGGGAATCCCTGGGGTGGACAGGACTCTGCTCAGTACCTGCTGGTGCACCCTGCAGGCTGTTCAAGGAGCGGCTGAACCAGGTGAAGGCCAAGTTGGAGGACGTGGCATCGGGGCGGGCTGCCGAGTACCTCGACCCCCTGGGTGTCCTGCAGAACAACATGAAGATCCGTATCGAGGTGGCTGGTGAGCTCATGGCCTTGCCCATGTGTTAGCTGTATCCCCTGCTGCCCCACAGGGGACTGGTTCCACTGCCGTGAGGAGTGGAGGTTCCAGGGCTCAGTACCAGGACCTGGGAGGAGGGGACTGTCCCATGGGCTGTCCTGGTCCGGGCAGGCCTCAGAGGGCAATTGATGGCTCTAAGGGAGCAGCAAGGCTCTGGAGATGGGGGCAGTTGGGTTTAGGGGGGCCCAGATGCAGTGTGGCCCCGGGGGGAGTGGGAGGGAAGGGTTCAGAAGAAGGGAGGATGGATGGTAGAGATATAAGTGCCTGTAGCAGAGGCAGCAAAGGGCATGGGGGAACAGGAGCTGGTGCTGGGGGGGAGATGGCTTAAAAGCCATTTTCCCCCCAAGCACCATCTCTGTGGTGCCGCCTCCCCCCCACCTGCTGCTGCCACTATAAGAGGCAGCAATGAGGGGTAGGTCAGGAGGGGCTGCTGCCATGAAGCAGCCTCTGCCCACGGCCAGGCTGGGCTGCCATGAACAAGACCTGTTGCTAGAGCAGCTTCTGTTCATGGTGGCCCAGGCTGGCCAAGGCATGGGCTGTTGAACCCAGCACAAGCTGGGACTGAGCAAATCTGGCTCAGTCCCAACTTGCGCCAGTCCAGGATTTTAAATGTAGTAAGAGCTGCCCGGCATGAGCTGGGATAGAGCACCTTCCCTCATCGACTGATCGTGTAGTCAGTACAAATATTGACTACGCAATTAGTCAGTCGCCTGCCTCTTAACATCCTTAATATGGAGGTGAGCCTGAGGGAGAGGAAGCAGGTGGGTTCAGGAGAGGCCTGTGGGGTGCTGGCAGGCAGGCCCTAGGAGAGGCTCCAGGGTGGGAAGGTCCAGGCAGGTGGGGGTGGATGGCCAGGCCCAGGCTCATGGGAGGAAGAGGTGGGGCCCAGTGAGGGGAGTTGATGGCAAGACCCAGAAAGTAAGAATTTCGAAGGGTTGGGGGAGTGAAGCTTGTGAGGCCTATGCCCATGGTAGTAGGAGGGCAGGGACTTTGGGAGCCTCATGGGAGGTTTGGAGTTAGCCAGGGTGGGTGTTTTGCAGGGCCAATGGTTAGGAGGAGGCGGAGGGGCTGGTAGGTGGACAGGTGTGACTGGCTCCCTCCCCCCACCACAGGCATCTACAAAGGGCTGTGCCTGGAAGTGGTCAGGAACAAGCACGAGTGTGAGCTACAGGGAGCACGCCAGCACCTGGAGGTGAGGGCTCTCACGACCCTCCTCTGCCCCTCTTAGCCCCAGAGCCCCTCGGCATAAGCCCCCCAATCTTGCCCCGAGATGTCCCATGGACTGCCCTGGTCTTGCATACCTCCATCCAGTTCCCTGCCTGCCCCATCCTGCCTGAATCCTCTGCGCCCCAGCCTGGGGGTGATTCCAGCCACTGTTGGGGGGGCCAGGAATGGGACCAGACAAGCCAAGTGGGAGGCTGGGAGCCCATAGCTTGGCGGTGGGGGCAGATCTGGCTGTGCCGCCAGGGGCTCCCCAGGGTCCTCTGTGCCCTGGGGACCTCTGCTGTGGGGGTGGGTCTATCCTGGCACCACCCCCAACCCTGTCCTGTCCACACAGAGTGAGAAGCTGCTGCTCTATGACAACATGCAGAGCGAGCTGCTGGAGCGCATCCAGCGCCTAGAGGATGATCGGCAGAGCATTGACATCACCTCAGGTCAGTGAGCCTGGGGCCTACCCCTCTGCCATTCTCCTGGCATGTCTGCCTCCTGGTCATCCAGGGTCCTGGCACCACCCCCAACCCTGTCCTGTCCACACAGAGTGAGAAGCTGCTGCTCTATGACAACATGCAGAGCGAGCTGCTGGAGCGCATCCAGCGCCTAGAGGATGATCGGCAGAGCATTGACATCACCTCAGGTCAGTGAGCCTGGGGCCTACCCCTCTGCCATTCTCCTGGCATGTCTGCCTCCTGGTCATCCAGGGTGCCTCCAAGCTCATCTCACTCTACTGTGTCCCCAGCTTGACACCTCCTGCCATACTGCTGCCCCCCCAGGGCCCTTCCTGCCAGCCCCTGGGTCCTCATTACAAAGGCAGCTACATTCAGGATCCCTGCACTTCATGGACCAGACCATCCTGCCCAGCATCCTGGTGCTGGTCCTACTTGCTACTTGCTTTAATCCATGTATGAGGCAAGTTTGAGTCTTAGGCCAGTTCCTCATGGGGCAGGATTGCTGCCCTCTCACTCCTGACACAAACCACCCCCCTTATCTCCAACCTTGGGGGCACTACCTACCCACTGCACTGGAAGCCCCAATGGGAAGAGAGGACTGAACCCCCTTTGCCCCCCTGAGGAGCTCTTGTGGGACTGAGGGGGAAGGCTGCTGCCAAGCAGACCCCTCCTGCAGCCTGGCAGTAGGGGCTGTCCTCTGACCCTCATTCTCCTCTCCTGGGATAGAGTGGTGGGACGACAAGCTGCGCCCCAAGAACAACCTCAAGAAGTGGGATCCCTTCCGGCCTGCCAAGAGGAAGAAAGCGCCGCTTGTGTCTGATATCCTTGCGTTGGTATCCCCTCCGCTTGCTGGGCTTGGAGCAGGAACCATGCTGGTATTCCACCGGCTGGCCATGCATACACACACACTGCTGGTATTCCAGCGGCTGGCCATGCATACACACACACTGCTGGTATTCCACCGGCTGGCCATGCTGATTGCTCCTTTCCCAGGATAGACCCATCTCGCCAGGTGTCCCATCAGCCCTGGCTCCTTACCCTTCCAGTCCCTGTGGTGATGAGGAGTGGGGTGGGAGGGAAGGATCTGGGATGTCTGGCCCAGAGGCTCCCTGCTCCGTAGTGATCTGTGTCTGGCTGCTGCCACTGTCCCTCAATGCCCCTTTCTGGCTTGCCTATCCTGGTGCTGCCCTTCTAGTGAGTGTGGGAGAGAACAGGGCTAAATGATCACCATGCCCATGTATGGTTACGTGCCCTTAACATGCCCTTCACGCCCCTACATTGTCTACATGCTGCGGGACATCGACATCCTGGAAGACTGGACAGCCATCAAAAAGGTGAGGCTGACCCGCAGGACACCTGGATCCCTTAATCACCCTCATTCCATCGCACGCCACTGGCCACCATACAATGCCTAGTCCCCTCCCTTCACTCTCCCCATGTCCTCCAGCTGCCATGCAGGACACCTGGTTCCTCTAATCCCCACCCCTCATCCACCACTGGCCCCACACACAATGCTTGGGTCCCTTAAACCGCCCACATAGACCCTGAGTTGTTCTTCAGTACACCCAGGGTATCCCATAATAATCCCCTTTCTAGCACTGCTGTTCGGGATCAAACACCTGGAAATGGGATTATTTTCTCATCTATTCTTTATATACCCTTTTAAAAAGTCACCATGTGCATAGCTGGAAGTCAGGACTCCTGGGCTCTGGGAGCGGATCATGAGGTCTGGTGGGTTAGTGTGATCGGGAAGGTGGGGAAACAAGACTCATGGGTGGAGAATGAGGGCTGGGAATCAGGACTCCCCGGTTCTGTTCACTGCTGCTGAGTGAGTCCCTTACCTTGTGCCTCAGTTTCCCCATCTGCATGTCAGGCTAATGCTGCCATCCTTCCTGAGGGAACAGCATGGGTGGGATCCAGATAGCTCAGTGAGCAGCGGTATGGGGTGGAGTGTGCTCTCTGCATAAGTTTCTCTAATCATCTTGACTCTCCCTACAGGCTAAAGCAGCCGTGTCCCCCCAGAAAAGAAAAGCAGATGGTAAGAGCTGGGCAAGGGATGAGATATGGGGCCTTTTTCTCTAGGGGCACAGGTTCCAGTCTGGCCTCTGGTGTCCCCTCGTGTCTCAGCCAGGACATGAGCCAACTTGGCCCTGCAGCTGCCATCTGCTGCCAGCAGGGCCCATCCCCATATGTAGGGGCTGCACCAGCCCCCCTACCATTGACCACCGCTCTCCCCTCAGTGCTGGTGAAGGTGGAGAAGCCGGGAGCCCAGTTCTCAGCGCGCTGCGAGGACGGGCGACTGCATTACGAGGGTGAGATCTACAGCAAAGGGCAGAGTGTTGTCCTGGAGGTCGGGGACGAGGCGCCTGCGCAGTGAGTGGCCAGGAACTGGCTAGCTGGAGGGTATGGGGCACGGGGCCTTTCCCTTCTAAGCGGCACCAGCAAAGCCATCCCATCCATAGGACGGCATGGAGCGGCCATCCCAGCCCCAGGACATGGGGGCCTCAGAGTGATCCAGGGAATTGCCTGGAGGCCTGGCTCAGGGCAGCAGGGGGTCATCCTCCCACTCACTGTGATGGTGGAAGCCAGAGTGACCTGGCAGCCTGCTCTGCTCTATCCTGCTGCCCTCTGCCAACCCGCTGAGCTCTGGGCATGTGATAGCCAGAAGCAGAGCGCCCCAGCCACAGCGGGCTGGAGCAGAGGGGGCTGCTGGGTGAGCTGTTACACCGCTGCTGTGGTGAGCGGTGTGTTACGCCTGCTGCCGCCTCGTCCTAAGCTCCCAGCTAATTCCCTGGATCACTGTGGGACTCAAACCCTCAATACCAGGGCAAGAGGAGGTAGAAGAGTGTGGGGTGAGGGCAGAGCTGGGGTGATGCTTGGAAGGGTTAAAGCTGTGGCAGGGCCTGGGATGGGGAGATTTGCTCTGGGTCTCACCTCTGGGGTATAGGGAGAGATGGTACTGCCCCAGGCCCCATTCCCCCTAGGAATGGCCCTGGGCACCAGCTCTGATCCAGCCCCAAGGCTGGCTGGGTTGGGGTAGGGAATGGGATACAGAGCCTTTTCCCTAGACGGGGTCTGGGGGACCCCGAATCCAGCCCCAAGGTGGAGAGGACTGACTGTCCTTGGGGGGGCTGGCATGACCCCTCTCTCCCCTGCAGGGCAGTGATCACGGCTGTCAGCACTGGGGAGGTCTGGCTGCGCCGGGAGGATGGCACCAAGACCAAAATCTACGTCTCGCAGCTGCAGAAGGGCAAGTACTCGGTGCGCAAGGCCTGAGTGGGGCTCAGCCCTGTGGCTTGGCACAGGCCTCCTCCTGGACACAAGGGCCCACAGCTCGTCTGCGGTGCAGCGAGGGGCTGGGCGGAGGCTCGGCTTGCTGCCCCCTTGCACTAGGACCCAGACGGAGAGGACTCTGGGGCCCTGCCCGGTGGAGTGTTCACATGGCCAGCGCTCCCGTCACAGATCCCTGCAGACAGACCAGCACGAGGCTTCACCGCTCGCTTCCCTCGCTAGGACTCTGGTGTTTGTAGCAATCTGGGGGGCACGTAACTCCCTGTGTCCGGGGCTGTTGTGCTCCACAGGGAAATAGGGATGCTGGTTCCAGGGGCTTCTGCAGGAAAAGCCCTGGGTCTTGACCAGCTCCTTGGAAGTGTTCACATTAAAAACTAAGCGAAACATGCACAATCTTGGCTCTTTGATTCATTTCAATGTATTCTGGGGAATAGGGATGAGCTGGCCTGGGGGGTGAGTGGGGTGTCTTCTGTATCCCTTTGAGGCACAGAATGTTCCCAGCACCATCCCCTCAGCTATATGCGCTATCCCTTGTCTGAGCCCTCTAGACCTGCTGGCCACAGTTCCTTCAGGGCGTGGATCGCTTTGGTACAGGACCCTCCCTGACTCCAGCCTGTGCTGATTCTGGGACACACAAGTGGCAGCACCTTTGGGACCCTCCCAGTCTGCACTGTTGTCTTTTCTCCAGCCTCCCTTCCCTTTGGAAAAGACAACCACCTCCGCTCTGTCCCTGGCCAGATCCTACTGCTGAGAGCTGCTCACATGGGTGACAGTCTGGGGGGCCTTGTGTCTGAGCCACACCTGTTCTCATCTAGGCCTCCCCCAGCACCCTAGTGCAGCTGCCTGCACCCTGCCAGTGCTCGGCAGAGCAAGAGGGAGCACAAATGGGGGACCCCTCTGCATGAGCTATACCCCAACTTCACAGGCCCTGGAGGGGCTACAAGGGCATTGGGGTGAGTGGGGCTGGGTCACAGGGGGGATCTGGCACAGAAGTGGGAATCCTGCCCTGATCTTGGTTCTTCCCCATGTTGGACTCTCAAATCCTACTGGTCCCTCCCCACAATGGGGCTTTAGCCTGATGTCCCATGAATTGTCTAGAAAACTGATCTCCTGAATCCCAGCCTCACACTACCCTTCCCATGGCTCAACCCCCTTCTCTGCTGGCCCAGCTGTTTGGGGTCTGGGAGCCAGAACTCCCGGGTTCTAGCCTCAGGTTTAAGAGCTCTATGGGGTCAAGTGGGACAGGAGCACTGGGATCTAGAACTCCTGGGCTATGTCTACACTGGCGGGTTCATATGCAAGAACACGTCTTTTTGCGCAAGAGTGTCCATGGCAGTGTGGACACTTGTGCAAGAAAGCTCTGATGACCATTTTAGCCAAGGGGTTTCTTGCACAAGAAACCCCTGCTGGATGTCCACACTGCCCTCTTGCGCAAGAGGGCTTACACTTATTAGAAAAGAGCGTAGCTCTTGCGCAAGAAGCCCTCTCTTCCCACGCTTTACTGTAAATCTTCTTAAGCAAGAGCAGGCGAGCCCTGTGGACGCTCTGCAGAAGAATGGCTGTTATTGTGCAAGAACCCACCAGAGTAGACAGCCTTGGAGTCTCTCCTCAGTTTTGGAAGGACTGTGGAGTTCGCTGAGTTGGGGGAGTGCTGGGAGCCAGAACCCCAAGGTTCGGTTTTGCAGCTGGCTGTCTAACAGTGACAGAGCCCTCTCCCTGGTTTGTGCCTCGGTTTCCCTTCCTGTATTGGGAGCCATTGTGGTCTCCCTGGAGAGGGGAAAAGGCATCTGCAGGGCTCCAGGGTGGAGGATGGGGACAGATACAAAACCCAAGACAAAGTAAGACCTGGGGGATGATGCCCAGGGCCCCTGATGTCCAGGGTGGCCAGGCAGCTGCCAGGGTTTGGCTGGTGGCCTGGACATGCTCAAAGCCCAACACATGTAAGTCTGACATGGGAGTGAAGGGAATAATAGATTAATAATGATGCTGAAGGTAGCAAAGAGGTTATGAGAAGGGGGCCCTGCCAGGGTCTGCAATGGGGGCCATTTGGAGGGGAACTGGGAGAATGGAAGAGGACACTGGGGGCTCTGCCCGGGATGATCTGAGATGCCAGCTCCATTCATATCAAAACTTCACTCCTGGTAAGATGGGAGCACAGCCCAGCAGTCAGGATGGGGGGAGGAGGGGAGAATCTGGCTTGGTTCTGATGGATTTTCCACCTGTGGCTAACTTTCTTTGTCCCCTGGCTCCTCCTTCTACTGTCCTGGCTGCTACCGACTGTCCATACAGCCTACAGCCCTCGCATTGACCTTTCTCTCCCAGCTGGAAGAGTAGAGTCTAGTGCTTAAAGCAAAGTGCTGGGAGCTAGGACGCCTGGGAGCAGAGTGGTGTCTAGTGGTTAGAGTTGGGGTGGATTAGGAGTCAGGACTTCTGCTTTCTGTGTTTAGCTGGGGGGTTGGAATCCAGTGGGTTCGAGCAGATGGGCTGAGAACCAGCACTCCTGGGCTCTGTGTCAGCTCTGGCTTGGGCAGTATGCTTTTCCGTGCCTCAGTTTCCCCCTGTACAAAAGGAGTGAGCTGGTAGGCTGGTGAGTTGTGCCTGCCCCGCCTGCCCTGGGGCTGGCTGGCTGATTAGATCTGCGCCCCCGCACGGGCTGTGCCAGCCTAGAGTGCTTTGCCTTGGGAACGTGACTGCGGGGGGGGGCGTCTATCCCTGCCTGGGGCTGGCTCCGCCCGGTCCGGGCCTGTGCCATGGCTGGGTGTGACGGTGAGTCACAGCCGACGCGCATTCCACTGCTCCGGGCCAGGTTTGGCTCCCACGGAGCCGGGGCACTGGCTGTGGAGCCGATACCGGGACGCAGCTCTGTGTGCAGGGCTCCCTCGCCCCTGCCTCCCGCTATAGACTGCGCCGCGCCCCACCCCAGAGGCGGCTGCATCTCAGCGCCCCGCCAGGGCTCCGTGTCGCGTGGAGAAGCAAGTTCCCAGCAGGAGCCACGTGGGTTTGAGTCCTGCCCTTCCTGCTCCTCCTGCCGCCTCCCTCCCGGG